CCATCAGCCCAGAGTCCGATGCGGGGCTCGAACTCACGGACCGCGAGATCGTGACCTGGCTGAAGTCGGACGCTTAACCGACTGCGCCACCCAGGCGCCCCTCAACAAAAATGTTTTAAATGAGTGGATGCATTAAGCTGCCAGGTCTTCCTTTTGCCCCCAAACAGGGGAAATCAGCAATTTTATTTCTCCAGAATAAATCCCTACTAGAAAGATGTGTTTGATCTATGACAAAAGCCATAAGGAAAAGGCCCTATACCAATTCATCTCACCTGTTCTGCTCCCACCATGCTAATTGGCTTGCACTTGAAGAGGTGAGTGATGAACTTGGGAATGAAGGAGCTGTGGATTAAAAAAGAAAAAAAAGGGACAAATTAGGCTTCATTCTCTCTTTGGTAAAGGACTGTAGAAATTTGTTTTTGTTTTGTTTTTTTTTAAGTATGCTCCATGCCCAGCATGGAGCCCAACTTGGGGCTTGAACTCATGACCCTAGGATCAAGACCTGCGCTGAGGTCGAGAGTCGGATGCTTAACCAACTAAATCACCCAGGTGCCCCAGAAACTTTTTTTTTTTTTAAGGCCTCACTTCCTTCTATACAAAAACTGAGAAGTTGAAGTAGATGTTACTGTGGACTCCCAGCATCCATTGTCTTCTTTTTCTTTCCAGCCAAAGTCCCGGTTTTACTCAGGTCTTGAGATGATGGGGAAAAGCTGATCGCTCCTAAACTGCAGAGGTGAGTTCTGATTAGCCTCAGCCAATCAGAGCATGGCATTCCCTTGTTGACTGCTGTTGGTCCTGAGATGGGGGACACAATCCAAGCTGGACAATCGGACTGGAGGAAAGGACTTCACTGCATGGCCTGGGCAAGAGTTTCTCTCCTTCTTCAGGGTATTCTTGTGTTTGAATAAAACATCTAGAGTTGCCATTTTACCACCATTCTAAGGATGAAGCCAGCCCCAAGGAGAGCAGGGGAATAAGGAACGTGGTCCTTAATGACATTGCCGAACCACTGAATCAACCATCTTTCGATGTGTCCTACCTCTGATCTCCTGGCTACAAGAAACACAAAGTTCACCTTATGCTTAAGTGAGTTTAAGTCAGGCTTCTATTACTAGCAGCTGAAAATCACCCTAACAGACATGACAGTGACATAGTTATAGGGTGTTAAATGCAAAGATAGGAAGTAATTGCTAACGGAGTAACTGTCAGAACAAGGGAAAAAATACATGATCTCTGAAAAATTTACTGGGGACTGAAGGGCAACTGGTTTGGGGAAAGGGAGAAGTAATTTTTATAGATCATGAGGCCTTTTTTAGAACAAACTGCAGGGCCTGAGTAGGGAAAGCTGAGTTGTACTGGTGCGGAATGGAAGGTGTGGGAACTAGAAATGCCCATAATCAAGGGCAGATCCAGATTGGACTGACCAGCGGAACACAGGGCCCACGAAGGAACGATAATAAAACAGGATGTGGAGGTCAAGAGAAAGGCTGGCTAGCACCCTCATCGCCTACTCTTCAAAAGCTGCTCTTTGGGGCGCCTGGGTGGCGCAGTCGGTTGAGTGTCCGACTTCAACCAGGTCACGATCTCGTGGTCCGTGAGTTCCAGCCCCGCGTCAGGCTCTGGGCTGATGGCTCAGAGCCTGGAGCCTGTTTCCGATTCTGTGTCTCCCTCTCTCTCTGCCCCTCCCCCGTTCATGCTCTGTCTCTCTCTGTCCCAAAAATAAATAAACGTTGAAAAAAAAAATTAAAAAAAAAAAAAAAAAGCTGCTCTCAGGCCCATGACTCCACCCTCCTGGGTCTCTCTGCGCTGTCTCCTGTACCTTGGTGCCCGCTCTAATCTCTAATACCCGACGAAGTACCGGCCGTCTCACTGGAACAGCACTGGCACCTCAATTCCAGCACGGCCAGGACTCAGCCTCACCCTGGAACCCAGGCTCAGTGGACCTGATCTCGTTACCCAGTCACCTGAGCCAGAAACCAGGAGTGACCCCAGCGGGCTCCCTCAGCCTTCCATCCCAATGTCCAATCAGTTCCCAGCCCTTCCCCGGCGCTCCCTCACCCAGCCTCCTGACGCTGCTGCTCTTCCTCTTCCCACCTGAGCTCTTTTAACTGTTTCCTAACTGGGCTCCCTGCCTTCGGCCTCATCTTTGGTAACCATCGGCTGTCAAAGGGATTTCTTTCAGATGCCATATGCTCAAGCCCCTTCCCTGATTCAAATTCTTGAAATGGCTGCAGACGACACCTTCCATGACTGTCCTGATTCTCTGTCCCTAGCCTCTCATGCTAAGCTGTGGCCCCCTTGGCTTGATCCTGCAGACTATTTACTGCCTCTGTGACTGCTTACACGGCTCCCTGTGCCCAGAATGCCCTTCCCTACGGCCTTGTGGGTCAGTACCCACACAGCTCTTGCACCCTGCTCCAGGACCTCCCTCCTTATGAAGCGTCTCCTCAGTCGCCTCCGCCATCTTCTACACAGAGTTCACAGACCTCTAGCCTAGCAGAAACTTCCTCACGATGCTATTTGCTCACGTGTTTATTTCCCTCCACTAGACTGTACGGCAAATGAAAACAGGGACCACGTCTATTAAGCCAAAGCACTTAATTCTATGTCTGGGACAGAGCAGGTGCTCAAATGACTGCATGTTAAATAAATAATAAGTAATAACAAATTAAAATGGTAGCAGCTACCACTTTTTGAATGTCAGCTTGGTACCAGCACGGAAGTTTACACAAGACCTCTCACTTTATCCTCTCAACCACTATTAAGAGATTTGTTTTACGATCCCCATTATTGAATGGAAGAGAATCAGCTTAGTGGATGAGGGAAGTTGCTTGTGATTGTGATGTCAAAACAGGAAAGACTGCTGTTGCTTCAGAAACCAAATGGAGGCAAAAGGAAACACGTATGGCTTGCATCGATGCGATAAGAGAGGAAGTTAAAGGGGAAGAAACCTAAACTCTAGAGATCTGATCCAGGGGGAGGTCTGCTGACCAGGAGGGAGAACAGGGGCTACGCAGAAGGGATTCTTCAGTGCTCTACATCAGAGCCAGGCCAAACAAAAAACATGACATTGAATTCATGACTAATCACAATGGTACACAGTTTATTACCTAAGTTACTTCTCTCCAGAGTGGGCTTCGGTTGTACGCTTGAACTGGCTCTGTGTGCTAGTCTACAAGGGTGGGGTGGGGAAAATTTAGGGACCAGAGACATGTCATAGTGGGGAGAGGTGCTGGCAATGTGATGGGTAACTGCCCAAGGCTGCTCCAGCCCCAAGGGGCAGCGGTGGCCATTGCTTTTGATGGGGAAGGATCTTCTCACAGCGCCATCTCTGAGGTTTCTAGTCTTTGGCTGGGATTTACAAGGATGAGAGGGTACCATGGATTAAATCAGAAGACCACTTTTCCTATCAGAGGTTAAACTTCCAGATATGAGAGATGGGCATCGTCTTCCTAGCTCATCCAATAGAAGCTTAGCAATAAAATCAAAGGGCTCTGACAGAACGTGAGGCTGATGCCGGGACTAGCTAAGTAAATGACTCCTTGTTCTCTTTAACATTAGTTCAGACCCCTGTGCAACCATACTGGAGATTTTGGGCCACAGGGAAATTGTACAGAGACTGTTTCTACCAAGGGTATAGGGAGTGTCACAGCATGATTTATGAGCAATGCTTTTAACACACACCGATGAGCACTCAGAGGGTGTAGGGAATGTCAACTCCGGGTTCGTCCACCATATTGCAAACGTTAATGCCTCCCTGGGGAGTCCACCCGATCCTTTCTTGACAAACTGGAAATGAAGCTCATGCCGCAAGCTCTCCATAACCGTTGTTCCTTCAGGTTTATTTGTGAGGGAGAGAGAGAAGGCCTTAATTGAATACAAACCGGGAGAGATCTGGGGAGGAGAGAAACTTGGAGCCCTAAACCCCCCTTTGGGACTTGGATGAGGACAACTTAAATACAGTAGCTGGGAACAGGCTGACCTTCTCGAAGCCCTTCCTGGCGGCGTGTGCCAAAACGCGTGTTGGCTGGCTGGTCGGAGGAGGCACTGACCCTCTCCGTTGCCTCGTCTCGGGGGAAACAGTGCTACAGCCAGATGCTGACTGGCAAAGGCCCAAACCGTATCCCCACTTCCAAACGTCAAGCCAGAAATGGCCACACACAAGGACGTAGCAGAAAGACAAGCAGTACAGTGTTCACTACATGTCCTTTGGCAGTGGGGCTCCCTGACTTGCTCTTCCCAATTTCTAGTACCTTCCCCGGACTCCAGGAGGTCCAGAAGCAGATCAATTCTGGCAGCCCCAGCAATAAGTACTATGGGGAAGGAGGAAGAGAAGGCTTCAAAGAAGTAGAACTGACGGTCCCTACCCTAAAAATAGTTTAGAATCTAGTTGGAGAGACAAAATATATAACTGAAATCAGTGAAAAATAATTTTAATTATCTGAACCTGTGGGGAGGCAGGGGCACTGTTACGTCCACCTAATTCAAAACAACAGTTTCCCCAGCTCATCTGAGTTTGTCTTAATGTGGTTGGTGACTGTCCTGCTGTTACTGTTGTCTATGACTTTAAGTAGTGGACTTCGTTTTATTATCCTTCTTTGGAGCACGAAAAAATGTTTGTTTACAGGCACCAGAATGAATTCCAGCTGGATGGCGGGACACCTGGGTGGTGAGCATGCTGGCGGTAAGTGTGGCACTCAGAATAACCCAGTGATGGGAATGTTCCAGGACTTACTTTGCAAATTTAATGCAGAACTGAGTGAAGTATTTCCGGGTGGAGGCCAGGTTGTCGCGGATGATAGGGACATTCTGCTTAATGTGAAGAATGACAGAGGTGACATAAGGGCTCTGGTCACCAACGTGCTCCACATTCTGCCACTGCATCTGCAAACAGAGATAAGGGAGGACAAGTCTTTAGATCCTTCGCGGGAGGACAGTCTTCCGCGTCGCTGGGGAAGGGCAGGTGGAGTGACAGTGAGGCAAGAGCTTGCGACCACAGCTGCCATTTTATTTTGGGCAGTTTGTCTTACTTCGTCTGTAGTGGCTGATGGTGAATAAAAACAAGCAGACCCACCTCATCCTTATCCGTGAGATGTGACTCAGGTACCCTTTTCTACACTGTCCCCCTCATGCTTGAAATAGCCTTCCCTGCCCCTCTAAGCGGCCAACTTGTAATGGAACCCTCTCCAGGCAGGTGAACCGGACTGCACCGCTGTCCGCTGTCGCACCGGTTAAAGGACTGTGGGAGAACAGGGGAGGCACATCCATTTCTGAGCAGGTTGGTAGCTTGGGAGATCGAGGGGTGGTTGGGCTAAGTGGAATGAAACGTGGACGAGAGTTACTTAGGCCTTTCTCTCAAGTCAACGGTAAGGAGATGAGGATTTTGAAAAAAGGGAGCTAGAAATGCCGGGACGTGTGAGACGTGCTTCAAAATAATCTAGGATTAGGAGGAACAGATGAAAGATCGCTGAAGCTGGGTGATGGGTCCATGAGGTTTGTGGTACTGTTTTCTCTACTTTTGTACATAACTGAACTCTTCCATAGCAAAACATTCAAACCTTACTCCTAAAACCTTCGAGATTATGTTGGGGTTTCAGTCCAGGGAAAGGAAAGATCTCTGGCAAGTACGAGGGGGCAGATGAGAGGGTAGGACAGTGGTATGTGGAACAGGGCAGGAAGGAAGCACCCGGGGTAGTGTGAATGGCAGGCGGGGGGCACACCAGCATCACTGAGAGGACCTGAGTGGTCCCTGGGCAGGCCATGGACACAAATGAGGTACCTGACTGGCTCAAGCTCTAACCACCTGAGGAGAATCAGGAGACATGCTCCGCAAAAACAGGGCAAGAAGCAATGCCGTGGAGCCTCTCCCTGCTTGGATGCATACAGGAGAAGAGAGGCAGTGTGGGCTCCCAGCCTGCCCCGGAGCTGGCAGCAAATGGGCACTTTAATCCTGAAAAGAGCAGGAATGTGCTGGAGGAGTTCTGCTGAGTCAGCCTCTCAGAATGGAGCTGGGCTATTAAAAAGATCCTAAGCCAAACACAAACCATATAATATGTTCATAGAAGGAGGGCGGTAGTTCTGAGGCCTTGATGTCTCTGGCAAGAGAACTAGTGTTTTTATAGAGCTCTTGGGGAAAGGAAAAATTCAATACTGAGGGAACTTGTTTAAAAGAATCATATTGTACATGGATGGCTCCCCAGCTCCTGGGAAGCTATAATGACTCCATGTTTTGTTCTAATGTTTCTTCAAATCAGCAGATATTTAATAAAAAAAAATTTTTTTTAACGTTTATTCATTTTGGAGAGACAGAGCGTGAGTGGGGGAGGGGGAGGGAGAGAGAGAGAGAAAGAGAGAGAGGGAGGGAGACACAGAATCCAAAGCAGGCTCCAGGCTCTGAGCTGCCAGCACAGAGCCCGATGCGGGGCTCGAACTCACGGACCGTGAGATCATGACCTGAGCCGAAGTTGGATGCTTAACCGACTGAGCCACCCAGGTGCCCCCAAATCAGCAGATATTTATATTTTAAAAGCTTTACGTATGTGTAAGCATATAAAAAAGCAGGAAGGAACTTCTGTCTTCATTTTACACATAAGAAAACCAAGGCCCAGCAACATTAAGTCTTATGCAAGGTTTCACAACAAAGTGCCAGATAGAAAAAAGTCTCTAATTTTTTACTGGGGAAAATTAGAAACAAACCATGGAGAAACAGTAGAAGGTTCTAATATGAACGGACTTTATATTCTAATGCTTTGGCTATGTGTCATGTTTTCCTCCATTGTCTTTTCATCTTATTCAAAAGGTTTCTTTTCCCACGTGATTTTAGAGATTTGACCCATCTGAACAAAAAGCATCTTAGGAGATCTTAAATAAGCTCACGGGGTGAGGCCAAAATTGACAGATGCTGTTAATGTCTGCACCTCACCTTCTTTTCCCCAGCTGGCAGCACCACGTGGAGCCCAAGGCCCTGCGTAAACACAGCAACCCGGGAAGAGGGCTCGATGCCCCTTCCTCCACCAGCCACCAAGCTCTTGCACTGTAATGACTACTGTTGTCCACGTTGGCAACATTTTACATTTCAGCATCTCACAAAGTTGATAAGTAATTATCTACACATCACAGTTCTCCATTAACAGAAGACAACCATAAAGGGAGGTGGAGACGTGCCCTGTCATTGATTACAAAGCAGCTCTGAAGCAAGACAAAGCGTGGGACGCTGGACTTCAAGTTCTCACTGGTGAGCTAAACCCTCTTACTGGCCATGTCAGTACACATCCACATTTGGAATATATGTGAAAAGATCAGGTTTGGTTGAATAGTCAGTTATGACTCCACTGGTCAAGTTAAAAGTATGAGCAAAAGTCAAGTAGATTTGGGATTTTAAATTTAAGTCAGCTTAATGACATAAGAAAACTATTTATGTATGTATGTATGTATGTATGTATGTATGTATGTATTTATGAGAGAGAGAGAGAGAGAGAGAGAGAGAGAGAGAGAGAGAGAATATCCCAAGCAGGCTCTGCACTGATTGAGTGGCTTGATCTCATGAACTGCAAGATCATGACCTGAGCTGGTATCAAGAGTCAGTCGCTTAACTGACTGAGCCATCCAGGTGCCCCATGTCAGAAAACAATTTAAAGTACTGGAGAACAATGAAAGTTGACACTGGCTTTACTATTTAAAAAAATCTGCAAAATGTAATTAGCAGTGATTCTGTCCAGTCACTGCCTTAGATGGTTGATGCCTGCCCATCCCAGACAACTTAGGGTTTAAGTTGTAACCGGAATGGCCCAAGACACTGACATTAGGACCCACCGGATGCAGGTTGCTTTGCCTGGCACTTTGTATACATTATCTCATTTACTATTCACACATGAGCTCATCTGGTGATGAGGAAAGTCAAAAGCTCAACGAGGTTAGGTAACTTGCCCAAAGTCACACAGCTGGTAAATAACACAGTGGAGACAACCCAAGTCTGTCTAAAGCCCAAGCACTACGACACCAGGCTGTTTCCAAGATGATTGTTTAAAAAAAAAAAAAAGTAACAAAAGCAATTCCTGGGCCTTAATGCAAGCCAAGCCCCGTTTCTCAGGGAGAAGCTGATGAAATATACAGTGATCAAGCAAAGTTCTCTGTCAAAAAAGGAAACAAAAATTAGCCTGCACTGGAAGAACAAACATCATGAAAAGCCATCAGTAGAAATAAGATTCTGACTTTTCCAGGTAAACTTTGCATTTGACATTTAAAATTTACCCCTTCAGGGGCGCCTGACTGCTTCAGTTGGAGGAGCATGTGACTCCTGATCCAATGGTTATGAGTTCGAGCCCCGTGTTGGGTGTAGAGGTTACTTAAAAATCAAATCTTAAAAGAAAGAATTTACCCCTCCCTACTTAAAGTTTTCCTCTTGTGCTTTTAGTGTAGGGGGGGTTGCATAATACTGCCACTATATAAACAAGAAGAAAAACAGTTTGCAAAAGAAGCTGTAACTAAGATACAGGATTGACAGAAGCAGCACCCAAGGAAATGATCACACTTAGCTACAGAAGAGGCTGCAGGGGCAAGGGCAGGGGCACAACCACGGTTTCTGCCACCCGAGGAAGGAGTGTGTGACTGATGCTAATGCTTCACAGGAAGGCTGGGGAGAATAACTGCTTCCTAGAGAAGGCCCACTGTAGCAGAGAATTCTGACCAATCCACCAGTTGGAGAGCAAAGCTCCATAAGTAGCTTACTTTGGAACTTGTTTTTCTCTATTGCTATATGAAGCTTGGAAAGAGGCCTCCTGAGAAACTAATTTTCCTCAAGTTCAAATTCCCACCTATTCATTTTGATCATGGAACTAGAGAGATACAGAACATAGACTGAGGCATGCGGATTCTGGGGACATTTCAGGCAATCGGACTGTAGCATTATGGTGTAGGCTGCTGGGCCACTGGCCCCAAGCACCGGCCTTTGCCCAGGTACACACACATACTCTAAAGCTTGTCTGGGCTACTTTTACTCCTACAACAAGCACCTGCGACACTTACAGGTACCTTGTGTGTGCATAACACTGGACCAGCATTGTGTGGGGAATAAAAAGGGAGAAGGAACATTTTTTGAGCACCTACTATGTACTGGGCATCATGTGATTGACATTTTCACATGAACTTCCTGCTTACAATAATACAGTAGGGGAGGTATTATTACTCCTGCTTTATAGATAAGACAGGCTTGAGGACAGGGATTTGCCTAATGAAGCTTGAGGACAGGGATTTGCCTAATGAAACATAACTGAGAAGTTAACAGAGCTGAGATCTAGAAATTGGTTTGTCTGACTCTGAAATCCATGTTCTTTCCATTTTACCATGTTGCTTTCCAAAAAAGTATTACCACCCTAAACGAACTTGAAATTAGTGGAAGGAATTGGAGCGAGCAAAATTTCTGTATGAGGCTGCACAAATGCAGGTGATGTGGCAGAGGTGATGGCGGTACAGAGGAAGAGGACACAATGCGCCTTGACTCTGACGGGAAAACCAACAAGACCCAGAACAGAAAGTGGAGTAACAAAGGCTTTCGGAAGATAAATATATATTTTTCCTACTCACTGCTAGGCCAATGGGAAGGTGAATTTGTACAACCTTTTCTTAAATACAATTTGAAAGTATCTACCCAAAGTCTTAGCATTTTACATAGCTTTTGATCTCTGCAATTCCCTTTAAGGCAATTAATCTGAGGCTAATAATTACAAATGTTTAGAAGACACACACATGCGCACACACACACGCATTTATGAGGTTGTCCGTCGCCAGACTGTTTTTAAACGTGAATAATTGGAAAGAATGATCAAAATGGAGTTGATGACCTACATTTTAAGGGCAGGACTCCACCGGAATACTTAAAGTGAGGA